AAAAATCTATGGAGGACAAAAGATAATCCTGGCACTAATAAATGGCAAAGTCTTTTGTAGTTTGTCATCTTTCCCTCTTTTCCTATGTTCCAGCTAAAATAAACAACTTACATTTTCAGTTTATCGAGTATTTTTCAAAAACACAAATGATCAATGGTTCCAAAATTTTATGTTCATTTCTTTAATATTTGGTGGATACCATCTATTCATAATCATTTATTTAGTATATATTCATGATTTACTAAAATAGCTCTCTTCTCTAATGCCTTCCTCAGTAAAGACAAAAGCAACGGGATGTTGACTTTCCAGATGAACAATTTCATCTATGGTAGGATTTATGCATCTAGGATAAAGATAATTATTATTATATATAATAATATAATATTATATTATATATATAATAATTATAATTACTAAAGTCTTCAGAGTTCATTATAAAATGCACTCAAATCTGTATGTTTTAGTCGGGTGTGGTGGTGCCCGCCTGTAATCCCAGCAGCTCTGGAGGCTGAAACAGGAGGATCAAGAGTTCAAAGCCAGCCTCAGCAATTTAGCAAGGTTTTAAGCAACTCAGTGAGACCCTGTCTCTTAATAAAATACAAAAAAGGGCTGGGAATGTGGATCAGTGGTTAAGCACCCCAGAGTTCAATCCCTGGTATCAAAAAACAAAACAAAACAAAACAAAACAAAAAACCCAACAAATCTGTATATATTTCTATCTTTGCTTAATTTTTCAGTATAAAATTAGTTCCCTTTATTCTCCTTACCTGGAACATCTCCATTAATTTTTTTTGCTTATTTCTCCATTAAGAATTTCATCAACTTTACCAGGGATTTTACCAAGTGCATTTTTCAATTAATTATTTAGTGGGTCTTTAACTTCTCTGAGTCACCAAATTTAAACAAATTTTGATAATTTCTTTTTTCATATTTGTACTGATATCATTACAAAGAATGTTGCATCCTAAAATACTTACTGCATTGATTTTAGAATCCTGCTTATATATTCATTAACAATTTTATCTCATTCAGGTAAGGATTTCTTTTTATCCTTTCCTAAAATGAACATAGAAAGTAAAGCTCTATCTGGTTTAACTTTATGATTCTTCATTATTTCCAGCTCAATTAACTATCTCAATAATGTGATTTATAATTTATAGTTACTTATATAAGATTCTGAATATGTATAGTATATAGGCAATACAAAGTAAGCATGCACTTTCAATCAGGCAGATCTAGATTCAGATTCAGGATTGAACACTGAGAGGGCAAAGTACTTATCTAATCTTCCTTCTCCAATAAGTAAAATGGAAGTAACTTCCATTTATAGCAGAGGAGTATAAAAATAATGGTTGTAAAAGTAACAATGTATGCTAAAATGCCTAAGACATTACAAGAAAAAAAATGCTAATTCACTCTTTCTTTTTACCCCAGTTCAATAGGGTCAATAAATCTGTGTTGCTCCAATTTACTTTAAGACCATTTTTATATTTCTTTAAATAAAAGCAATTTGGCAATATTGACCATAAACTTTGGATGATCACATACTTTGCCCTAATATTTTCACTTTAGAGAAACAATACAAAACACATAAATTGTTTTATGAACAAACATGCTCATCGTACTCTTTTATAATCGAAAAAAAAAAAGCTCTTTAATTATGAGTCACACAAACATTACGTGCCCATAAGAAAAGCTGACAAAATAAGTCAATAGCATAATAAAATGCTTATGATGCCAGGTTAAAAAAAATACAAAATTATTCATAATAGCAAAATCTTAACTGTATTAAAAAAATCAAATAAATTCAGAAAATATATTGGAGGAAAATGCAACCAAAGGGATTAATAGCAATTATTGCAAAGTCCTGTTCCTGTTATTGGCAAGTTTTATTATGATTATTTTCCAATAGTTTTCTGAAATTCTTATTTTATGATTATTTCCTAGTTTTCTACAGTAATTAACAATGATAATGACATTGATGAGAACAGCAGCTATTATTTATGGAACAATCACAATGCCAGGTGCAGTTCTAAGAGCTTATTGTATTAACTCATTTAATCCTCATAATCATTAGATGAAGTAACTTGCCCAAGGTCACACAGATAATTACAGAGGGGACCAAAATCTGCATCTAAGTAGTATGGCTCTAAAATTTCTTTTCTAACCTCTACACTATAATAAGAAGTTTTGCTTTGTTTCAAAGATTTAACCATTAAAAAGGATAACATATCAAGATAGGTATTACAGTGGTAAGCACCTATAATCCCAGCAACTCTGGAGGCCAAGGCAGGAGGACGGCAAGTTCAAGGCCAGCCTCAGCAACTTAAAGAGACCCTTGTGTCAAAAAAACAGAAAGGGCTGGGATTTACCTCAGAGGTTGAGTGAGTTTGGGTTCAATCCCCAGTACTGCTAAAACAAAAGGCATATAACAATCCAAACCTATTATCTTCAGTTGCCAGTTTTCTTTTAGTACTGAGTTCAAATATTTGCTCTGCTATTGAATGCCTCTTCAGAATAAGATGTGGCCACCATTCCTGTATGGGTTTATCTATTCCAGATAATTCCAAGACAAATCTGCAGCCCTTATTTCCTATTTCAATATCTTACTTGACAATTGAGATTTCTGAATACTAACATTATTACTTATTACACCAACTGACAGTACTTCAAAGAATCCTACCTAGTATACAAGTCTTGGAGTAACTCAAAGTTGGCTTTAGAACTTCTCTTAGAAGAACCCCCACCTATTTAACTATAAATCATAGTTACTGCTTTTGCAAACATCTGTCTTCCATTGTATTCATTCTCTCTGCAACCCAGTAAACCCCTCATCTACCAATACCCTCCCAGAAATCTACCATAGTACTGGCTAAATAAGACCAAGAAAGCGCCTCAACACCTGGGGAATTCTACTCTTCCTTTTTGAACATGACATTGTTCCCCATTGTTTTTGAAATATCATCAGGTAATTAATAAAGTGAGTCTCTCTCGATTTCTCACTCTTTTGATGGTAAACCAAACTATTTAAGGGTGGAAAAAAGATCTTTCCTCAACTAATAGGTATTTAAAAATCAATTGCAGGAATATTCATAATTTTTATACCCTGGCCAATAAAAATAACTTCCCCTTACTGCTCTCTCCTCTCCAGTTCATATCTGATAAATTTATTTCATTACTTATGTCACATGGCTTGGTTTATAACCTGATATCTTTTCTTTAAAAAAAAAAAAAGGTTTGGGGGCTGGAGTTATAGCTCAGCCGTAGAGAGCTTGCCTCGAACATCTGAGGCACTGGGTTTGATTCTCAGCATCACATAATAGATAAATAAATAAATAAATAGTGTCCTTCTTAAAAAAAAGTTTGTAGAATCCAACATGATTAACAAACACAAGAAATTTTTCTAAATAGAAGAGGCATACATTTCAGTTCATTTGGCTTTTAGAAAAACTGAATTCATGTTATAGCTTTAACATTATATAATTAGGAAAAACTACAGTCATAAGACAATGAATATAATAACAAGTGATGATACTGGAAAATTTTATAATCAGAATATTTTTACCAAAATCTTATTCTGCTCACCTTATATAATGACAAATGGCTTTGGGAACTGGAGGTAAGAGTATAAAAATTTTTTTCCTATATATTTTGGTGGGGAAATTTAATAATTTCCGGAAAGAATAGAGATAAGAACCACATCAAGGCTAATCCAAGCTGGAGGATCATTTTAGGAAAAAGAAAATGGAGGATTAATAGTTGAATAGGTTTTAGTTAAATTACACGAAGTAAAAACTCTGTCAAACTCAATGCATTTGCCAAGAAACAAACCTGCACCTTCAATTTCTTTTTTGCAGTTGCAAGTTTCAGCTTGGTGCAGTCATTCTAGAAGAACAATTGGGATATAGGGTCGGGGAAAAGTGGAAAACAGAATCCTTTCTCAAAAAACTGAATTCCGTGTTCCACCGAATACGCTTCCTTATTACTGCAATATGAAAATATGGATATAATACGGAAACTTGAGCTCCAGCAAGTACTTTTATTGTCTTAAAAATGAGCACAATTAGACAGCCATTTTACAATCGTAAAAAATCCAAATACCTGCTACACCAAACATCTTGCACTTTTATCTTTTCTTGGGGGAGTGGGAGTTAGCTTCTTAATACAACTAACAGAATTAATTAGCAGATAGCTTCCAACTTCAAGTTTCTACATTTATATCCGTTGCTGAACCAAATCGATCAGTGATTAGGATAACAGATTTAAATTATAAGCAATATTGCAAAATCCAGTTGATTTTAAAATAGGTAAACAGCACGAGATAATTTTTAAAGGAAAAAAAAAAAAAACAGCCACTCCAAAACCAGTCTGCGGCGGCCAGTCTGCTCCTCAGCAGCTGTTCCCGGTTGCGTGTACACATAGGAGTGGAATAAGTGCAAAACCCACAAAATCACGCAAAACACGTAGTTACAAACAGCAAAATCATGTTTACATGCGGTGAAGCCAAGAGGCCCCGAGGGGAAAAAAGAGCGGGGAGGAAGGGATCTGCCCTCTGAAACCAAGGTGTGCACGGACCTGGGACCCCAGGGCCCAAGGAGCCGGGGCGGGACAAAGACCGGCCCACGTCGAGCAGCGCCCGGCAGTGGCGAGAAGCAGCCGTCCCAGGGCAGCACACTACCGCGCCCAAGGGCTCGCAAACGCCGCGGCTTAACAGGCGGGGGCAAAAGCTCCTCCGGGCAGCGGACCCTCGCCTCCCGCAGCCTATAACGGGCCCTGGGACACCTGAGGAGCGTCGCCTCCCGCCCTTACCCCGACCCCAGGGCGCCCCGGCCGGCAGCTGTTGGGCTTAGAATCGCGCCGCCGCCGCTGCGGGGCTCCAAACGGCCAGGCAGGCATCGGGAGGGCGGGCGAACCTGGCACTTCTCCCCACCGCGCATGAGGCAGCTTTGGAATACCCTGTCTCCGCTCCTGCCCGGGCCGCGCACCCTCACGCCACCTACCCGGTCCCACACCATCCCAGAGGCCTCCGGCGCTCGGGCCTTCTGCCGAAGCGGCGCTGCCTCCCGTCCGGGGCCCGAAATGGCTGCGGAACAAAGAGAATCTGGGCTCGGGCGAGCGCCGGTCCGATTGGCCGGGGGGCGGGGCCCGCCGCGGGAACATTCGGCGGCGGTCGCCTTGGCAACCGCGGCGGGGCTGGGAAAACTGCGGCCTCGGCCTGCGGACTTGTGGGCCTGCGTGCCTGCGTCCAGCGTCCAGCGTCCAGCGGCGCGCGACAGCGGTTTCTAAGAGGGTTCTGCAGCCTGGGATCTGGGCCCTGTGCTGGGCTCACAGATGCTCGCGCCCCCTGCGGCCGACGCGCAGGCCGGAGCCTTGGCTCTTGAATACAGCCACCGAGACGCTGCCCCGCACCGTGCTAAGGGAAAAATGGCTTGCAAACGTGATGCCTGGGCCTTTGCGGTGCCTTCCTAGGAGGATGACCCTACCCCAACGAACTTCTGTGCCCCAGCATAACCCCCAAGTGACAGCCGTGCCCTCGGAGCCTATTCAACACCGAACATGCCGCGTATCCCACAATAATACAATTCCAACTTCGCTGGTAAAAAGCAGAAATTGCATTGGGAGATAAGGTGTGGGTGAAATTGCATTGGGAGAAATTGCATTGGGAGATAAGGTGTAGGCTTTTGAGATATGCTGTAGCTAGCACAAAATTACTATATAGTTCCAGCTAAATAATTTATAAAATTGTTTTACGTCTCCAGGTGTGTATCTCACATAAGACTAGTATCTCGTTCATAGAAATCACAAGCCTTTCTCCCCTTAACCAGCCATCATAAATTAAAATGTCTTCTGTTTTCTGAACAGAAAATAATTCAAAATGGGAGAGGTAGACATTTTTATACCCAATTGTATCATGGTAATGAATAGACATATGTCGGTTCCCTTCCCCCAGATCATTCTTACATATAAATTTACTGTATATGAATATTTTAAAATTTACATAGGAGGTGGTCTTTGTTTCCTAAGGAGATGATGATGCCAGTGATAATATTCCTCATGATCAATGTGTGTAAAAATGCCAGCAGTTTTAACTATCTTACTTGAAAGTGCTGTATATGTTCTGAGGATGTTTAGCAATTGTTACCTTCCAGGTACAGTCCAGATAAAACTGCAGTACGTAGTACTAGAAAAATAGCTGATTTGTTAACAAGCCTGCTAATAATTTTCATTTGGATTGTCCACCATTTTACTGGAATAACTAGTTTATTTAACTTAAATTTTGAGACTGAAGAACCATTTTTAACATTGAGAAGTTGAACATAGCAAGATAAAATATTATAAATAACTAAAACACTTATGACTTTAACATTTTCTAATGTTAATTTAATAGCAATTGGATTCAGTAGTGTGCATGGGAAGAGACCCCCCTCCAAATAGGTTATTAAGAAAAGCAATTTAATGTGACCATTTTAATATGGTAGTGTAGCATGTCAGCAGGGACATTTACCCAGATAAGTTTATTTATCCAAATAACAGTCCTTTTTTCACACTGTAAAATTTGCACTGTGGAGTAGGGATCTGTATAAATCAGGGAACATAAAGTGTCTGCTTTCTATTTTGCTAAAGACTAAAAAAAAAAAAACCAAACAGAGTATTTTTAAAAATCAGAAGGAATAGCAAATAATGACATGTAAAGAACTACTAACGATTAGTAAGGAATTCACCTGATTAAATTAATACTTTGGAAATAACTGAAATGAGTTAGAGGGGAGTGAAGTATTATTTGGCATGTGCAAGATTTATTAGTTAAAATCTTTTGAGAGAAAAAATTTCGATTATCAGATATAAAATCGAGACTAGGCAAACTAGATATTCTTTTATAAAGCTTAATTGAAAACGTTAAAATAGTTTTGTTTTGAATAGAAATGTTTACACATATAGTCTTTTTGTTTCTATCTTCTACTACAATTAAAAATACATGCTTTTAACAATAATTCTTACCATTGATAAGGGTGTATTATTTTGTTTTTCTTTTCCTACTTTTTTTTGTTTTCTCTTTGCACCATTTGCACATATAATAGCAGCTATCTAGTAGTGTTTTCTCTTCATACCCAAATACAGTATTACAATGCTCATGTAATAAAACTTTGAAGAATTGTTGATATTTTTAAATGACATACACTAAAATTAAAAATAGTAAACTTTGTTTTGAACTGTTAAAACTTTTTAATAGTTATTTTACATTTTAATTTCTATGTTAGTCTCCTCCTTAGGTGAAAAAATTTACCAAGATAAAAATTTTATCAAGGAATGTTAGCAGTTGCAAAATAGCTTTCAAGGGAGGAAGCCTACCTATAATCTTTCATCTAGGAAGAAAAAGATGCTTAACTTGTCAGATGTACAATTGTCAAAACAAGTGGGAGGCAGAGGACCTATATGCAGATGTTGGCTTTACTACTTGTGAACAATTTCTGTCTAATCCCTTTGAGCTTCACTTTCTTTTGTGTTAAACAGGATTAAATAAGAAACAATATTTAAAGGGCTCATTAGCAGAATACCAGGCAGATAGAGGGCAATAAATGAAAATATTACTTACTGTATATGAATGGAAGTTTGAAAAGGAATGATTATTTTAAAAAACCCAATAGTCTAATATATCCAACAGATAGTCCAAAAATTTTAAAATAAATATATTTAATAGGCAATTGTTAGTGAGTATGTAGAAACTCTAGAATATAGTGAAATATTCTTTTAGATACAGGCAAATTTCTAAAATAGAATACTTCTGAGAAATATTGTTTCCACCTATGCTTTATGGAAAGATGAGATTCTCATTATATTATTTAGCACTAGACAGTCTAAAGAATTGTCTTTCTGCTGCAATGTCTTCAGGATGGCTTTAAGGAATAATATTTTGTAAAGTAATTATTCAGAAGAATTTAACTCAAATGTTGAAAGAGGATTTTTTATGGTTAATATTCAGAGATATGTAAATAATCTATTGGTATTTCTCATTTAAAGCAAACCCACATATAAATTTTTAATTTATAGAATGAAAAATTAGGGAGTTATTATTAACTGGGAAAGGATTAATTCCAAAGTTCCTTTAACTATTAATGCCTCCTAGTGTTTAAAATATGATTTGATTTATAAAAAGATCTACTTAGACTTGCACTTCTGGAAAAATAGAATAGCATGCTTTTCTCTATTCCTCCCACTGAGTACAGCTTAAAGTCCAGAACATTATATATAGGGAAAACACAAGAAGACTCCAAACAGTGGAGAGATAACAGACTAACTAGGGAAGTCAGGATCCAAGGAACGTCATAATGATAATTCTCTGAGTTTGCTTTTTTTCTCATATATCCCAGACTCGAAGCTGAAGAACTTACCAACCTGGAAATACCAATGGCATGGACATAAAAAGCCCCATCAAAACGATGTTCTCTGTAGCTGAAGGGTCAGAAAGGGAACAGCACAGCAGAGAGAAAACTTTTAGATAATAACTGCTTACACCAGCCAAAAATCACAGAAAAAAAATCATAACCCTACCCAATTCATCTCAGCAAAGGCTTAATGGAGAGCCCAGTCTCTAACAAGGTGACCCAACCCCTCTTTGCCTAGATGATATCAGTGAGTATCAAATAGAGATCCAGGATTTCATCATCATGGGGCAGTAATGAGGAACCTCCCATCTTGGGTATCATTGGGTATCAGAGGGAAAGTTGGACTTCTCTGACAATAATAAGGTGGTGCCTGCTTTTCCTCACCCCTCTTACCCTGATAGCACTGGTAAGAAAAAAAAAGTTAAAAGGGAATATTTTTTAAAAGATCCCAAATCTTATAACACCCCAAGTGTGCAGGTTTCAATTGAAAAGTATGCATCAAGAACCAGGAAGATCTCAAATTGCATTTTAAAAAATGACAAACCCCAAATATAGAAATGTTAGAATTATCTGACAAAGATTTTAAAATAGATATTTTTAAAAAATACTTCACTGAGTAACTACAAAAAAACATTTGAAATGGGGTAGGAAAGGTAGTATAATCAATCAGACATTATTACCTTATGTACATATATGACTACACCTCTGGTGGGATTCTACATCATGTATAACCAGAAGAATGAGAAATTATATTCCATTTATGTATGATGTATCATAGATCATTCTACTGTCATGTGTAACTAATTAGAACAAATTTTTAAAAACACTTGAAACAAAAAGAAAGTCTCAGCAAAGAAATAGAAGATATAAAGAAAAATCAAATGGAAAATTTAGAACTAAAAAATACAATAATTATAATAAATATGTGGATAGGTTTACAACAGAATAAAGGGAACAAAGAATCAGAGAACCTGGGAATATAAGTTACCCAGTCTAAAAAAAGAGAAAATAGAGTGGAAAAAATGGTCAACAAGATTTCATGGAACTGAGTGACTATAACAAATAATCTAATATTCATGTCAATAGACTTTCGGAAGGAGAAAAGCAAGAGGGGATAAAAAAGCAAGGGTGGGGATAAAAACTATTGGAAGAAATATGGCTGAAAACTTATGAAATTTGGCAAAAGATATAAACTATACATTCAAGGAGTTGGTGAATCTTCAATGAAGGTTTCAAAACAGTTTAATGAGAGCAAGTTACTCTTTTCAACAAATAATGCTGTGACAGCTGAGTATCCACATGCAAAAGTAAATGTAAGAGTTGAAAGTATAAAATTATGTAAAGAAAACATAGAAGTCAATTTTGTGACATTAAGAGTTCTTAGATATGCCACTGCGGGCCGGTGGAGGGGAGGGGGTGTGAAAAGAAAAACAAGGACAGTTGACAACATCAAAATTTAAAATTTTTGTGCTTCAAAGACCACCATTAAAAAAGAAAATGATCCCAAAGGCTTATGAGGCAGAGGCAGGAGGATTGTGAGTTCAAAGCCAGCCTCAGCAAAAGCAAGGCTTTAAGCAACTCAGACCCTGTCTCTAATAAAATACAAAATAGGGCTGGGGATGTAGCTCAGTGGTTGAGTGCCCCTGAGTTCAATCCCTGATACCCGCCCCCTCAAAAAAAAAAAAAATGAAAATGAAAATATTTACAAGTCACATAATGGATAAAAGACTTCTATCTAGGATACAGAATGTTTATCTCAATAAC